CACTATGTGTTCAAATATTAAAAAAAATAAAATTCAGACATCCAGATGGATTAAAAAAGGGCCCATCTATATGCTGCGTACAAGAGACTCACTTGATATCTAAAGACACACACACAGAGTGAAGGGATGGAAATGATATTCCATGCAGATGGAAATGAAAAGAAAGGTGGTATAGTAATACTTATATGAGACAAAATGGACATTAAAACAAAGGCTGTACCAAGAGGGAAAAAAAAAGGGATATATAATGATAAAGGAATCAATCCAACAAGAAGATACAACATTTGCAAATATTTATACACCCAACATAGAAGCACCTGAATTTATAAAGCAAATATTAACAGATGCAAATAGAGAAAATAACAGTAATGGAATAACAGTAGGGGACTTTAATACCCCACTTATGTTAATGGATAGATATCCAGACAGAAAATTAATAAGGAAACAGTGGCTTTGAAGAACACATTCGACCAGATGGACTTAATAGATACATAGAGAACATTTTATCCAAAAACAGCAGAATACACATTCTTCTCAAGTGCACATGGAATATTCTCCAAGATATATCACGTTAGGTCAAAAAAAGACTCAATAAATTTAAAAAGATTGAAATCATATGAAGCATTTTTTCCAACCACAATGCTATGAAAGTAGAAATCATTTACACGAAGAAAATTGGAAAAAAACACAAACATGTGAAAACTAAACATGCTACTAAACAACCAATGGTGAATAAAGAAATCAAAGAGGAAATCCAAAAATACCTTGAGACAAATCAAGATGAAAACTCAATGCTCCAAAATCCATGGGACTCAGTAAAAGCAGCTCCAAGAGGGAAGTTTATAGCAATACATGCTTACCTCAAGAAATAAGAACAATCTCAAATAAACAATCTAACTTTATACCTAAAAGAACTAGAAAAATGAAAATAAACAAATCCCAAAGTAAGTAGAAGGAAGGAAATAATAAAGATCAGAATGGAAATAAATGAAATAGAGAATAAAAAGATAATAAAAAATATTAATGAAACTAAGAGCTGGCTCTTTGAAAAGATAAACACAGTTGATAAACCTTTAGCCAGACTCATCAAGAAAAAAAAGGCAGAGGGCCCAAATAAATAAAATACAAAATGAAAGAGAAAAAATTACAACCAATACCACAGAAATACAAAGGGTCATAGAAGACTACTGCAAACAATTATACACCAACAAATTGGGCAACATTGATGAAATGGATAAATTCCTAGGAGTATACAATATATCAAGAATTAATCAGGAAGAAATAGAAAATATGAACAGAACTATTATTATTAATAAAATTGAATCAGTAAGCAGAAAACTCCCCAAAAACAAAAGTCTAGGACCAGACAGCTTCACAGGTAAATTTTACCAAACATTTAAAAAGTTAATACCTAGGCTTCTCAAGCTATTTCAAAATTAAATTTTTTTAATGTTTATTTATGTTTGAGAGAGAGAGACACAGAGTGTGAGCAGGAGAGGGTCAGAGAGAGAGGGAGACACAGAATCTGAAGCGGGTTCCAGGATCTAAGCTATCAGCACAGAGCCCAGTGGGGGGCTTGAACTCACGAACAGTGAGGTCAGACCTGAGTCGAAGTTGGACGCTCAACTGACTGAGCCATCCAGGCACCCCAAACTATTTCAAAAAATTAAACAGGAAAGAATTCTTCCAACTTCATTGTACAAGGCCAGCATCATATAGATATCAAAACCAGACAAAGACACTATAAAAAAAAAAGAAAACTACAAACCAATATCCCTAGTGAACATAGATACAAAAATCCTCAACAAAATATTATCAAACCAATACAATAGCAATAGTACATTAAAAGAATCATATTGTGATCAAGTGATATTTCTTCCAGGAATGTAATGATAGTTCAATATCCACAAAATAATTAATGTGGTTGATACACTACAGTAACAAAATGAAGAATAAAAATCATATAGTCATATCAATAGATGTAGAAAATGCATTTGACAAATTCAGCATCTATTTATGATTAAAAACTCTCAATATAGCGGATATAGAGGGAAAGTGCCTCAACAGAGTAAAAGCCATATATGACAAACTCACAGCCAAAATCAGACTGAAAGGTGAAAAGTTGAAAGTTTTTCCTCTAAAATCAGGAACAATACAAGGATGCCTATTCTTGTCATATTTATTCAACATAGTATTGGAAGCCACAGACAGAACAATTAGGCATAAAGGAGAAAAAAAGTGCATCCAAATTGAAAAGGAAGAAGTAAAGCTGTCATTATTCACAGATAACATGATTCTATATGTAGAAAACCATAAAGCCTCTACCCAAAAAACTATAAATAACAAATAAATGATTTCAGTAAAGTTGCAGATACAAAATTAATACAGAAATATGTTACATTTGTATACACTAACAACAAACTATAAGAAAGAGAAAAATAAAACAATCCGATTTATAACTGAAGTAAAAAGAACAAAACACCTAGGAGTAAATTTAACTAAGGAGGTGAAAGGCCTATACTCTGAAAACTCTAAAGCAATGATGAAAGAAATTGAAGATGACATAGATAAACTGAAAGATGTACTCATGAATTAGAAGAATTAATATTGTTAAAAATGTCCATAATACAAACCAATCTACAGATTAAATGCAGTCACTATCAAAATGCCAATGGCATTTTTCACAGACCTAGAGAAGATAATCCTAAAATTTGTATGGAACCACAAAAGGTGGTTAGCCAAAGCAATCTTGAGAAAGAAGAACAAAGCTGGAGGTATTGTACTCCCAGATTTCAAACTATACTACAAAGCTATAATAATCAAAACAGTATGGTACTGCCACAGAAACAGACACATAGATCAATAGAACAGAATAGGGAGCTCATAAATAAACCTATGCTTACATATTAGTTAATCTACAATAAAGGAGGCAAAAATATATAATAGGGAAAAGATAGTCTAATAAATGGTGTTGGGAGACTGGACAACTACATACCAAAGAATGACACTGGATTACTTTCTTACACCATACACAAAAGTAAACTTAAAATGGATTGAAGACTTACATGTAAGACCTGAAAGCATAAAACCCTTAGAAGAAAACATGGACAGTAAGTTCTTTTACATCAGTCTTAGTGATCTGTCTTTTTTTTTTTTTTTTTTGATCTGTCTTCTCAAGCAAGGACAACAAAACTAAAAATAAACAAATGGGACTACATCAAACTATATAGCTTTTGCACAGTGAAGAAAACCATCAAAAAAATGAGAACAGAGCCTATTGAATGAGAGGAGATACTCACAAGTGATATATGTAACAAAGGGTTAACATGTGAAGTATACGAAGAGCTCATTAAACTCAACATAAAAAAGATCTGATTAAGAAATGGGCAGTGGATCTGAAAAGACATTTTTCCAAAGAAGGCATGCAGATGACCAACACACAAGTGCTCAACATCACTAATCATCAGGGAAATGCAAATCAAAACCACAATCCAGTATCACGTCACACCTGTCAGAATTATAATTATCAAAAAGAAAAGAAAGAAAAGAAAAATGACAGTTATCAAAAAGAAAAGAAATAATAAATAATAAATGTTAGCGAGGACGTGGAGAAAAGGGAACCCTCATGCAATGTTGGTGGAATGTAAATTGGTACAGCCACTACGGAAAACAGTATTGAGGTTCTTCAAAAAATTAAAATTAGAACAACCATATAATCCAGCAATTCCACTTCTAAGTATATCTGAAGAAAATGAAAATACTAATTCAAAAGACATGTATACCCCTGTGTTGAATATAGCATTATTTGCAGTAGCCAAGTTATGGAAACACCCTAAATACACATCAACGGATGAATGAATAAAGAGGTGATAATATCGTAATGAGATATTACTCGGCCATAAAAAATGAATCTTGCCATTTGCAACAACATGAATGGCTTAGTATCATGCCAAGTGAAACAAGTCATATAGGGAAAGACAAAAACTGCATAATTTCACTGGTACGTGAAATCTAAAAAATAAAACTGAAGAACAAAACAGAAACAGACTCATAGATAGAGAGAACAAACTAGTGGTTGTCAGAGGGGATGGGCAAAATACGTGAAGGTGATTAAGAGGTACAATCTCCAGTTATAAAATAAGTAAAATACAAGGATACAATGTACAGCATAGGGAAAATAGTCATTAACACTGTAATTAGTTTTTACGGTGACAGATGGTAACTAGACTCACTGTGGTGACCAATTCATAATATATATAAATATTGGATCACTATGATGTACACCTAAAATAAATACAATATTGTATGCCAATTATTCTTCAATAAACAAAATTCAGACACCTTGGCCATATTGTGGCATATACAGTTGCTGTTGTAAGACCCCTGTTGTAAGGGACTGTCGTAGCCCCTCTTTGGGTGAGGTCTTACTATGAATCTTTGAATCCTAGTGAAACACAGGTTTCAGGACATCAAAGAACAGAAACCAAATGGTTTTACTCTCTTTTTTCCCCCTATTAAGCAAGGTATTAAATAATTAAACAAATGATACTCAAAACTTTCCAGCCTTCTGACATGAATGACTATAGTTCTGGACCATAAACAGATCTAGCTTCCCATGCAACAGAGTACACCCAGGGAAATTCTGCTCACAGGTGACAATCGAATTCTGTTGGTAGAGGAAGAACAATGGGAAATTGAAAAATTGTTTTTATGTTGGAGGGGTCTATATATTTGTATGCATAATTAGAATTTGATGTTTCATGAAAAATTATACCATAATCTTCTTCATTCTTTGCTCTGAGGGCCTTGTTTTCCTGTATTATCTAACAGAAACCTAAAACAACGAGCACTCAATTCTAAATAGAGATGGAACTGCATGTTCTCCTGTTGTAATATGTAGTTTATTTTCAACAAAAGGGGGGCAGAGATCTAAGGGAGTTAAAAACAATGGTCACAGTTTATTGAACTCATCTGTTTTCTTAAAAAGACAAAATTATTACCTGATGGTGTTCAGGGTTTTCTTAAGTTCATCTCAGGAGGATGGGCCAGATACAGAGATTTTTGAAAGAGGTCCATAGATCATTTGAATGCACACCAGAATTGATGACCAATGTTCTGTAATCAAAACCCCAAGTTTCCACTGGGGGTTCACTGATCCTTCATAGAATAGGTATGAATCTTGAATCCATAATGCCTTCATTGTCTCAATGAAGCCACTCTTTCCAGTTCTCCTAAATAAAAAGAAAGGGACTGGTGAAACATAGGAAGGTAATATTACACACACACACACACACACACACACACACACACACACACGCACACACACACACAAAACCAAATTAAAAAAAAAAAACTTTTTGAAATTGTAGTTAAAAAAGGTTTGGAGTAAAAACAAATTATTTTAAATAGTCTAATGGTAGAATTTTCTCAAAAGGAGAAAAACAAATGTTCAAGTATCCCTTTTGCAAGACAGTCCCAACAATGAGGTCAGTCAAGCAAAGTGGCATTTTTCCTTGGAATTCATTGAGGTATTCAGGTCATAATTGGCTGTGGCATTTGGGAAAATATGGAGGAAGAAACTTGGCTCTAGGAAAGGAGGGAAAAATTATCTCAATGCCCCAGAAGTTCTTTTTTAAACTCCAGATTTGTACTGGGATATTTAGAGTTAGAATTTCCAGTAAAGAAGAGAATGTATCAAAGCTGCAGATTTCAAACAAGAAGGAAGGTCAAGGAGATGGTTAGACAAAGAAAAAAAAACCTCTGGAATAAACAGTCTTAGATAGTTGAATGGTCAAATAACTTATCTGAATCATAGGAAAGAATGATGTCGTGTCTAAATGTTAAATTGGTGGCAGGTGTCTTGTGCTTCTAGTCTGATTACACATTTCTTGAACACAGGTGTACTGAAAGGATACACTCCCATTAAAGATCCATTTATCAAGTTTAACATGATAATTATTTATCACATTTCCTCCTTGGAATCTGTCTCACTTGCTTTTTATATTCTTTCCTTAAAAATATTGAGGATTATTAATATTTATAATACACCACTTGATTATATATTTCAGGAGTATGCATTATGTGCCTGGCAGTGTGCCAACGAATATAAGAGCCACAAAAGAAGTAAAACATTGTGTCTACTTACATAAAACTTAAACTGTAATTGTACAAATAGAATTTATATAAATGCAGACATTAAGTAATAATTGTCTATGGGATACCAACTGGAAGTGTAACATGATTTCTAAAATGAGAGGAAGCTATGTAGACTAGGGTATTTGGTGGGAAGACCTCAGAGGGAGATTGGGCTTGACCTAGAACTTGATGAATTGAATGGCGGTGGGAGGCATTAAATAAGAGAGTGTGAAATGAGTGCACAGGCAGTAAAAACCTCAGAGACTACAAGGAGATGAGTGTAACTGCTTGACCACTGGGCTTGAGACATATATATTTGAGATTTGGGACATGAGTCATGGAAAAAGACTGTGGTACAGTGGAATGAGTCCAGATTTTAAGATGAATTCTGATTTTGCTACTATAACCTCAGCTTCCATTTATATGCATTGAAAAAAACAGACATTTTAGTTTCACTTATTTGAAAGTGGCTCCTGACTTATCTCTATTTGAATATTGCTCTTCGGTCTTTATGCTTCTCAAAATTGCTTCTACCTCTGATTGTCCTCTTCCCGGTGCAGGTTACCAACCAGATCTGTTGGGCCCCCTCCACTTGAAAGGCTATTGCTTCTTCTTACCTGAAGACAATCAGGTTGAACAAGATGCAATTAATACCCTATCCTTTCTCTTTTTCCACAGTGCCATTAGACAAGGCTGTATGGCACAACAAGCTTAGGGCAACGGTCCTCAAATTGAGCAGGAATTATCCAAGGAGCTTCTAAATTCTGATATCACCACTGGATCAGAATCTCTGCATGGTGGAACACAAACATTAGGATTTTTTAAAGCTCCTTGGTAACTGCAATGTATAGTGAGGTTTGAGAATTATAGCTCTAAAGCAATCATTTGAGATATTCCACTAGACAGTAATGACTGTCACATTCCAGTTTCCAAAGAATGAAATGGAGGAAAAGAGATTTGCTTAAAGAGGTCCCACATCTCAGCTCGTGTAGAGCAGGGGCCCTTCCAGCCCAGTTGTCTTTGAGATTTGTCCACCAGGATGAGTTTCAGACCAATCTGCTTCCTCCTTTAATTGACCAATGAGTAGATATTGAGATGTCTTACAAGGATAAATTATTCTCAGGGATTTTATAGTCTAAATCCATGAAAGAATACAAATATATTCAAAACTGCCTCATAAATTTCTCACAACTGAATCTAAATTTTACACAATTACACAAAGGTGAATTGTTATCTTCCCTTTATCTCTCATTCCATACCTTTTTCAGGGCCACTTTTGGCCCACTCAAAAATAGGAAAAAATTCAATGTTGCACTGTGTCCATTTAATAACACTCTTTTGGCTATACACAGAGTAGCTGAAGTTTGAGGATTATACCTAAAAAGAATTATGTGCTCAAACACTTTGGTTTCTCTGTAAGGAGGAGGAAGTATGGTTAAATTCTTTTAGATGATATCCATTTAAACTTTGGCTAAATTTCTTAGGCTTTCTGAGCTTCCATCTTCTCAACTAGAAAAAGACAACATTAATATCCAATGGCAAAATTATCAGAATATTGTATCTTATTTATAAAATACTGGATATGAAACACAGTAACATATGGGAGTGTTCAAAAGTTGATCATTATTATTCCAATTTGAATAAATCATAGGTCAGCTTTTCATTTTAAAAAGGAAAATAAAAAAAAATAAAGGAAGCAGAAGGGATGGAAAAAAAGCAATAAAAATTATATTATTTGAATGTACAGTATGTGCCAAACATATGTTAAGGTCTTTATAAATATATTATCTCATTAATACCTACCTATACAATAAGTATTAATATGCTCATTTTTGTAGATGAGAAAACAGAGACCTAGGATTTTGAGAGGGAATGACTAAGCCAATTTAGAAAACAGATTTTAGGCAACTTTTATTTGTGAACTTTTCCTGAGCTACTTTCCTCACCCAACCCCATTAGATGTCTATGGTTTCCACAAAGATTTCTGAGTCTTACGTCTGTCTTTAGGAGGCTGTCTTGCACATATGGATTATGTGCACATATGGATTACTGCACATATGGATTATGTGGGGTGTATGTGTGTGTGTGTGTGTGTGTGTGTGTGTGTGTGTGTGCGCACATGCCTGTATTTTTCGTGTAAAGAGAGGAATTCAGGTTGAGTTCATTCTATTTTTTCATAGCATATTGTCTCCATTGGTTCATGCGAGAACCATTTCATATCTCGCTTTAGTTTTTTAAACTCCCATTTATTGCCTTTCCATGGGCCTCCAATCTAATGTGTGTTTGATTTATTTCCTATTCACTTGTATTCTTAGAATAGCTACCATGTGTGTGTATGTACTCACGCAAATGCGCATCTTAAATACCATGTTTTCAACATTCTTCACTCAATATTAATTTTAAAAGATCTGTTCATGTTTCTCTGTATACGTCAAGGATTTCTTCTCTCATTGCATATCTTCCATGGTGTGCACTAAACCACACTCCCCAGTGGCAGACACCAAGTTTGGCCGCAATACTTCAATGCCACAAACAACACCATTCTTCTGTAAGCATATGTGCGATGTTTTCTGCGGTATATATCCAGATGTGAAATTTCTGGGCCACGTGATGAACCTATAGTTGTTTTAACTGAATTCTTCTCACTAGATGATCTATATGTAATCTACTTGAATAGGAGGGTTTCTACTCTATTTCCATATTGTCACCAGCGCCTGGCATTGTCTGAAGAACATGTATTTTAAAATTACATTCACCTCTATTGACGTTAAAATCTAAAGAGAGTCCAAAGAAGGATATCTCATAAATCAATTCAGTTTTTAAAAGAGCCTGATTTTTATCCCTTTATCATAAGAGATTGGAAACAGTATGGAGATATGGTTTGTGTCTCCAGTAGAGGAGAGAACACTGCATGCCCTGTATTTGAAAGGAGAGTCAGTGATTTAATTTAATGGGAACTTAAAGCTTCTTTTGTAATCATTGTGAACTGCAAAATAATTTCTAAATGAGAGAGATGAGTTCTAGTGCCTTGGGCTGCTGGTTGGCCTGCCAAAGACAAAATGAGGACACTAGAATTTCACATGAGATATGGGCCTGAAAAGGCTGCAAGGCTCCAGTGGCAAATGGACAGTTCATGACCTCATAGAACTTACAAGACAGTGGAAAATACAGAAAGCAAACAATAATTACAAAAGATACTTGTGAGTCTGAGATTGAAATAGTCTTACTGAAATGAGCCTTTGAATCATCTGGATGTCAGAGCCTGGTTACATGGAATCTGTAGCTCATGGGTTCTTATCACCCAGTTTAGAAGGCTTCCCAATTCCCCGTCTGCAAGAAAGATGAAGTACCTTGCTTGCAAAACATACTTTCTAATTCACAATATATCCAGGCCCTTGTTCTTTTTATTTAAGCAACATTCTCTTAATTTTAATTTGTCTGGCATGTCCAGATCCATCTTCATGGCCAGAACATTATTCAAAGATTAATGGTCCTGAGAGAATAATGTTCTTCACACTAGATTTCTAAGGAGCTGTTCAATCTCTTTTCTAATTCGGCAGTGAGAGTGATGAGCTGGAACAAAAGCAACCTTGACAGGAATTGTCTTCATCTATTATTTTTCCTACATCTCAAGAGGATCTGGTGGGCTCTTGAACTTGCCCTTTGAGCTAAGTAGTTGGAAAGTACTTTGACTCCTGGCAACTTACCCAGTAGTCTGATAAATGTGTCTTAGCTACCTTAGTTCTGGTTTGTGGGAAACAGCAGAATTTTCTATGGTTATTTTGTGCACTCTTACAAAAGGGAATTATTTTCTTTCATATGTGTGGGCTCTGTAGTCAGGAAGGATTGCAAAGGAAAAATTATATGGTAACAACAAATCTGATTGACTCCCGCGATTTCAAGTATGACAAGCAGTGCTTTTCTCTCCACATTATCAATTTCATGGTGTTTAGAAGTAACTGCTAGGTTTTCTTTTAAGTCTATTAGAAAATATTGGTGTGTGACTAAATGTTGATATGAAACATGGAATAAATTTTAGCAAAAAGGCTGCTCACTTCCTACATGATATGTGAGTTTTTATCTGTGTTAAATGAAA